AGGTGCTGAGGGCCGGGGTTTGGGGGTGGGATGGCAGGGTTAGGGGAACGGTTGGACTTGATGATCTTAAAGGTATTTTCTAACCTAAACGATTCCATGATTCTATGAAAAGTAGTTTTGGGAGGGGTTCTGAGACTGAGTTTTAGGTTATGTCAACCCCTTGGATTAGTAGATTATATATTTACCTAGGACCAGAGCCTCTGGCACAATCTCTTTCTGAGCTCTGAAGTAGATTTGGGTCCCAACTGCTGAGAATGGTGCCCTAAGGTGTGGTATTGAAATGGTGGTAATGTGCGGAAGGAAGGCAGGAGAAAAAGGGGTCTGATTTGTAACTTCAGCAAGAGGGATTTGGGTGGCCCTGGTCCCAAGGATGGTTTTGACTGCTAAATGCAGAAACGTTTGTGGGAATAGGACCTGGAGCTCAAGAATTCTTTCCCCCTGAGCTGTATATCTGGGTTTTGGGCTGGTTTGCTTTGTAAGCTGACTTCTCCATAGCCTTTTGGCAGGATGGATGTGACCTCTAGGGGTCCCTTCCAACCCAAAACATTCTATGATTCTATGAAACAAACATTCTATATTTTGGGTACAGAGTAGAGGGAGGTGTTCATATTCTGCAGAGGGACAGAAGATTGGAGCCTACTTTGTTTAAGGCAGTTGGTGATTAAGGAGAAACCTGAAGCTGCCAAGAGAATTTTTTTGGTTCTTGAGTTCCGTGGAGGAAGCCTAGATACTTAAATACTCTTTTCTAGATTCCGGTATTGCAGTGAAGTGTCTAAAAGTTAGGGTGCTACATCTTTAAGTTGTAGCACTAAATAATTACTGGGATTCCTGGTTCCTTATCTATATTGCATTTTTCCATTAATCTGTTCTATAGAATGGAGATTATTATTTTCTACCACTTTGGGGAAACTGTTTCAAAAAATTAATTCCTATATAAAGTAATTCCTATATACATTATAATTCTATGGCTGTTCGCAGCTACCCAGCATAGTCTTACAATCAAAGAAATTTGTTTTGTGAGCTGTTTGACTGTTTCTGATTGTTAAGTATTTCCCATGTTTGTTCTGTAAATCACTCTCAAAAAGCAGTATTATTGCAGATTACTGCAGTAGAACTTTGCAAATTCATACAAGTGAGCGGGATAATTAATGCCTGTTCATTAATTTGTGAATTCAGCATCCTTAATTTGTATTAATAATTACCCCTACTTTGTGTCCATTTTTTTGTATTCATAACACATACCGCTTCAAATTACTGAAGTCTTGGCAGTGTAAAACCTGGCTTCAGTAATGTCCCTGTTGAAAGAGGGAGATAATAGTGGTCTGTGAGTGGCTTTTAGCATGGGAGCATGAATTAATGAAAGACAGCATGTAACTATTGCAGTGGGGGGAGAAATTGGAAGGTTTGTGTTTTCACTGTACCAGACTCAAATTATAAAGTGTTTTTAGATTTTAAACGTTAACACCTCTCACATGTGTCCTAGCATTGCTACTAGGACAGCCATAACTCCTGTGGGGAACTTGCTGTTTGTCTTTAATTATGAAAGCTCTTTGTAATGCTTCTTGAGCAACTTTGCCAACTCTATTGTTTGCAGCAGGCTTGTATAATTTGGAAGAGAGAAGAGAGTAAAGAAGCGCCTTTTCTTTGTGCTGGGAAATTCTATTCAATGGCAGCCAAGTTATACATTGTTTAAAACTCACCATTTCCCTTCTCTGCTTGTGTTTCTCAAAAAATACTGTCAGCAAGCCAAACAATAATTGAACATCAGCCATCTCAAAAGCCTGGCAAGGCTGCAAGTATAACACACAAAGGGCTAGGGGAGAGGGAAAGCTGTGGGGATACGGGGTAGCAGAGGGAGGAAGAAAACTGGGCAAATCCATCATGCCTCAGCTACTCTCTATCCTGGCATACGGTGCCAGCTTGATCTTGAGGAACCCCATATTCAGCAGCTGTCCTGGGATCCCAAAGGAAAAAGAGGGAAGGGATGCTGCGTGAGTGTTAACGATAAAGCCTTTCCCTGTGTGATTACAGAGCTAACCGTCTGCCTCCTGTCTGAATTCCTGATCGCAGATCCCTCTGAACTCATCGACTGCCTCAGTTGGATGTACAAGGGCACGATGTTACAGCAGTATAGTTATCATTTCCAAGCTTCTCAGGCCCTGACTTGGTAACTTTTTTCTTCATGCTGTCAAACATATTCGTGCAGAAATATAGGGTCAAATGATAACGAAACATTATGGGGTTAAATTAATCTTTTAGTAGGTCCGTTAATTTGATGGAATTATACAAAAGACTAGGTTGTTTTATAATGCAAGTGCATTTTAGTAAAAGGTATGGAAATGACTAAACGAACAATTGCATTTAAGGATGCATGACTCTAATGGAGTTTAATTTTAAACGGCTGCAAAGAAAGGAATGCATACCCACTTTTGTTAAGCTAGAAATAAATAAAATACACTATAAGTGTTGGAGCTAATTAGTTAAGTGCTCAACTATTTAGTTGTTAAAACAAGATCACGCTTAAGTGCCTTAAGCTTTTATTAATTGCACGGACCCCAAAATCCTCTACAGTAATTGAAAATTTAATTACATACATTTTTTGTTCTTTTAAGAATGGAAGCTTATTAAACTTAAAACACGTAAACATCTATTGAAATACCAGTGACTATAAACAACATGCAATTCTAAATACTAATTAAACAGGGAGGCTAAATCACTGTAAAGCTAAACTGAATTTTAAGTAACTTTGCACTCAAAAGTACTCCTTTTTTTTCATGCCATGTAAGATTTACCATTTCTTCTCTAAACACAGCAGAAGGCCCAAGCCGTGTTAGTATCTGTCTGTACTGTGGCAGGCACATTATTCTGTGGACATATTTGCAGGGGGGCTCAGTCCCTAGAGAATAAACTGGAGTTCAGGAAAGGAGACCAGCGTGGGCAGAGAGCAGTTTCGGTGGACAGCTAAAGCTGCTGGTGGCACTGACGCGCAGAGGTTCATGTACCTCTTGGAAGGGGTACATGGTAGGCCAAGACCAGTGAAAGGCAGGGAGATTTGGCTTTGTGGGTTTGGTCAAGAAAGCAATGCTCTGCGCACCACTGACTCACACGATTTATGGTTTGGTAACGGTGACATGTTGAAAGGCCCTTAATTTTTGTTTTATAGAACCTTTACAGAACTGGGACCAGAGATATTTATATCTCTGTTCTGTTTTTCAGATCCAATCTAATGCAAGTCTCCATCAGTTGATCACCTGATTAATGGCTTAGTTAATTTTCTTTGGCTAGATGTCTGGCTTCTCAAAATTAACCATTGCTGTTTGCATTCTTATTAACACAAGATAAAGACAGAATGAACCTCTCAGTCTAAACTATCATCTTCTGATTTTAAATGGGGCTCTTTTTTAAGGGAAAGGTTCCCTTTTGCTTCTGCTCAGTCAACACAACAAGAACATTACTATCTTAAGGTTGAAGTGGTTTGCTCACACATAGACATGATGTTATCCTACTCTGCCCAAAGCAAGTCTCTACCCAGAAGAGTATTTGAGATGCTGCCCATCACTGTATCGCTGTTTATGCTAGAATTTAAAATGCCTCTAGGGATAGCAGAAGTAACCTGGTGGGATTAACAGCAGCAGAAGACGCACCAGAATACAAATTTTTTTCAAGGAAAGTTCTAAGCGCGGATTGTGAGCCCTGTCAGTTTATCAGGCAGATGCATCTCCTCTCTCATCAGAGTATTACTGTAAATGCACAAACATGAAACCCTCAACGTGTTTGTCTTCTGTGGCAACTGTGTTTTCATATTGTGTTTATAGCTGCGATCTTGCCTTGTGATATTTGGGCAAATGCAACAGTTAATTTTTCTCAGCGTGAAACAGCAGGAGCAGTTGCATTTAGAAGAATGTGCAGGTGGGACTCCCAGCAAGTGATAACTCCAGCTTCTTCCTTGCACCTCCAGCCCTGTTTTGAAAGATTCAGGTCATCCAGGAGAAATGGTAAAAGGTCCACAATTCAAAATCTGTTTTCCAAACACCAGCACCTCAAAACAATAAGAAGGAAAAGATCCTTTCATCCCAGGGTCTCAGTGTTTTCTGTTTGCTCATAGCAGTTCTCAGAATTGGTTTATTTCTTGTTGCAGCGCCTCTCAGGAACTGATCTACCAAGTATTTACACAGCACTCTTCCTCCCTAAAATGGTTTAGAAAAATCATCTTTGCACCACCGCTGAAAGGCAGCTTTCTTCCGGACTCAGAGCGGCTGCTTAACTTTATGAAGACAATAAAAAGTAGTAAAGGATAGAAGCGGGGTACGGGTTCTTCCCTTTTCCCCAGCCAGTTTGATTCTTTCTTCTAGCAAACCAGAATGAAGATTCTACCACTCTTTTTATTAATATGTGAAATACAAATACACTTCTGTCCTTCAGGAAATGTTGTTAAAAGCAAGCCCCAGCCCTTTCCTAGTTGTGCCACTAGATGGCCCTGCTTCTGAAGCAAACATCCCAAAAAATCTGTGCTTTTTGCCCTTTGCCTGCTCTATCCAGTACTTTTTAACAGGTTGGCGAACACTCGGAGCGGTATTAGTTTTAAAATAAAAACGACAGCTGATTGTGCTACCACAAGGGATTAAATTTGCAGCAGAATGCTGTATGGCACACGCTCCTATGTGCAGAGCAAGTTGGGTTTAATACGACAAAGGAAAGGCACAGGAAAGAGTTAAGTTGGTTTTGTAGTACATTGCACCACCCAAAAGCACCTTTGCTTGTAGGAATAAATGATTCTCCAGTATCCGCAGTTTACTATAATGATGCTTCCTTCCAAGAGACCGGGAAGGATAAGGTAAATGTCTTCCTTTTACGCAGCTTGTGGGATTTAGAAACTTAAGCCTTGGTCAGTAATAATTCTTTGCCTTGTTTGCGTGCCAGGCAGTGTCAGAGAGCAGCAGAAGTCATTGCTACAGACGCTGGGACTCTGCTTCCAGTGTGAAGAGGCCAAAGATTTGTGGGTTTGTCTCCAGCAGGCTCCTAACATTTTGGGCTAGGCTTTTTCTCGGAGGTGGATGCAGGTACTGTTCGACTGGCGTAGAAGGGAGGGTAATGGGGGTTGGAAGTGGGAGTCTGTATATGAATTACTGTGCAACATGATCAGGAATAGATGCATGCTGTGCTATGTAAGCAACATAAAGTGCTGCTCTTCCCCCATCCACTGAGTAAGTGCCAGTCCTTCATGCTCACGCTGGGTCCTCATAAATGTCTGAGTGTCAGCATCCTAAAAGAGAAAGAAAATATTTTATTTGCCTAAATCTGGGTTTGGCCATACCTGCTTTTCCTGTGGTCCCAGCTTCAATTCCCAATGAGGCAGACCAAAGTCAATACGCTCATTCATAGAATCGTAGAATCATCTAGGCTGGAAAAGACCTTCAAGATCATCAAGTCCAACCATTAACCTAGCACTGCCATCCCACCACTAAACCATGTCCCCATTTCTAGAGCTTTTCTTGTAGCAGCTTCTGTTATGACCCTAAAATCTCAGGGTTTCTCTGCAGGCACTCAGCATACATGGCATGTTTCATCAGAGTAAGACTTTGTTCCAGTATCTTACAAGATTTCTGTCTCCAGTGTCCCTTTTGCTATACTTGATACTGCACTTCATGCTCTCCCAAATGTATGCTGCCTTGTTTTTATCGCTTAACCCTTTGTGAATGATTTTGGGTTCTCTGATCCATGGGGCTGACTCCATATTGAAATTTCTACATGTTGGGATGTGACTTTGGCCACTCCTGTGTTAAAATTGGGCAAGTTTGGTGCTATCCCCAACTAATTCTTCAAGTACTCTGTATTTCATTTGTGTTTATGTATCAAGGTCCATGAATTGGGAGGTGGCAACAGTCTACAGCTGGTCTTTGTAGAGTAGTTATGTAGATCCCAGACCTTTTCTCCATCCACCTTTCTCCAAGCACTCAGAAAATGGGTTTCTAGTTTCTAGAGGGAGGGACATAGCTGTGCTGGAGCACAAGATTTCCTCGCACAGACCTTGGAGACACTGTGCATGAGGTCTGCAAGAGTCCTACCCTGAAATTCACAGCAGCCTGAATGTGTTGGAGATCCATAACCATAGTAAGGGACGTAAGTTATTTTTTCAACCTCAAAGTAATTTTCTCTTCTCTAGGAAAAGGTTTCTACCCAGTATCAGTAGCCCTGATAATGTGTAAGAAAAATTACATTGAAAACCACTTTCCTTCTGTTTATTAACAGAGAGTTGTTTTACAGTTCTTACATGCTGTCGTCTTAATTTGTTTGTTTCCACAGGCTACATTTAGATGCTGTTTACAGCAATAAAGAGAATATTACATTTGATCTAGAGTTCTGTCTTAATTCACAGGATGAGATGCGAACAGAAGCTCGTCGAAAAAATCTCCTCATTCTGATTTTGCATTATTTAATGGAGGAAGGGTATGTTTTTTAAATAATAGTGCTCTACATTTGTGAGGTTTTGCATGTCTGACCTCCCGTAATGTGTCCTGTCCTCGGTTGGGTGGACGGACAGCATGGCCCTTTGGTTTGATGTGAGAAAGAGGTAAACTACTATTACGGATCTTGGAAGTTTACCGTGCTAAATTGTTTCTGGGTTTGGAACAAAAATGCCCTATATAATTTAAAAATACTTTTGACCAATCAGCAAAGGGGTTTTAAGTAGAATATAAGATTTATGATAAATAGAGTTGTGGACCGGTTAAAAATACCATATGCTTACTAATGCTATTGTTTGCTTTTCCTCTCAAAAATCAGAAAAGATAATGACTCTCTGTTTTTTGATCTTTGTTTTTTTTAAATTATCAGGTATGTTGATGCTGCAAATGCTTTGGAACAAGAGACGAAATTAAGTTTACGTGGCTTTGAAGTTTGTGACAACATTGATCTTGAGACAATTTTGATGGAATATGAAAGCTATTACTTCGTAAAATTTCAAAAGTATCCTAAAATTACCAAAAAGGTCCTGGACACTGGTATGTGGCTGTGTTCCAAAAAGAAAGCTTTTGTTTCCAAAGCCTAAAATGTGCGTGTGCCTGATGTGCTCACCACCCTTCTCTTGTATGTCAGCGTGTAATGTTTGAACTCCCTTACAGTTACAGAGCTATAGTTCTAGCACATAGGACATAAGAATTGAGAGATGGGGCTTTGAGCCATTCTGCTCTTCCTTCTCTCTTTTTGTATAGGAACAAGAGGGTGATATTTTTCTGTTTTTTAAAAACTGCTTTGATATTGGAAAATGCCATGTAAGTGCAAAGTATTATGGCATAGATACATTCACTTTCTTCTCATGGGGAGAGAATAGTAAGTCTGTTCTATTTTGCATTTAATTTTTAAATTAAAACAAACCACTGAAATGAAATATTGTCACTCAGCTCATGCAAGCTGATGCTTAAAAGTTTATCACCACTAGTCTCATTAACCATTTATTTTGCACATTTTCCTATACTAAAGGTAATGTGCCAAGCAAGTAATAGGTTTATTTGCTCCAAAGGACTTAAAAGTCTGAGGTATAAATTGATGATACAGAATAAGGCAAGTCAGAATATGAGCATTCTGGTATGACCCCGAGAGCCTGAATGGTTTTGTACTTGAGCACAAAATGTAACTTACAGAAGCCATAAGAACAACTGTATAAGAATCAGTTATTAAGAGCTTGGAGGGTCCAGAAAATACCAACATCTCTACCTATTTGTCTTGTAAGAAAAATATAATCATCAGAGAAGGGAATGACTGGCCAGGGAACATCTCTGAGCAGTTGTCATTGTTTCATCTGGCTGCCAGCAACTTTGAAATCACAGGTAAATGAAACAATCTACAAATATAATAAAATTACCTGTATAGGTGAAATGATTTTGAAAGTTGCTAAAGCTACTAGTCTTCACTGCAGCCACGGTGATGTAGAAGATCAGTACTAGCTGGAAGCAAACATTATCTGCATGAAAAGAGATTTATGGCTAGAACCTATTGATTGGTGTTAATACAAAGAGGAGCAGCCTTGCAGGACAAAACTGAAGGGATTTGTTATGATCAAGAAGAAAAATGTATTACAAAGTATTTACCACATAATATTTATTCTTAGTCAAACTGAGTGGTAGCCAAGGCCAGATTCGTGAACTTAGATCCATGTGAACAATTCCCAAAAAGCCAATAAACCTTAGGCACTTACAGGCTCTCAGTATCCATTTTTTGGTCAGTAAGGCTACTCAGACATGGGTTATTCTACCATTATCCAAGCCCAGGACTGCAACTGTGCCAGCAGGGATGTATCATCCTTTTTCCCTGAAGCCTCCCTCCTGCACGTGTCTCTCTTGAGAAGCTGCTGCCTGGCAGTTTGTGACCTGCCTTAAATTGTGTCCACGGTCAGATCGTGGTATACACAGGCCAAACAAAATGATGGACACGAGTTAACTCGTGGGGAGATTCCAACTGGACATAAGGAAAAATTTTTCACAATGAGAACAGTCAACCATTGGAATAATCTCCTCAGGGGAGTGGTTGACTCCACTACACTGACTCAGCTGGACAGGGTGCTGGGCCATCTTGTCTAGGCTGTGCTCTTACCTAGAAAGGTTGGACCAGATGATCCTTGAGGTCCCTTCCAACCTGGTATTCTGTGATTCTATCATTAGTGTGGTGCTCCTTCCTACTAAATTCTTTGTAATGCTCTCAACAAGTCCTACAGGGCCAACGCATCTCCATGCTGAATTGCAGTTTGCGGTGTTGTAGATGTACCCGCTGAAGTGTCACGCATGGGCCCTGCTGCCTCTAAGTACACCGTGTTCCCCAGCTGTTACAGTGAAACAGCTGTTTGGGAAGGGTTATTTCATGTAAGTGCATGAGAATCTGGGTTCAAGAGAATCTGGTACGAAGAACCCTGATAGGAGGTGTTGGAACAACTAGGTGCACACTAGTATGATACAAACCCTCGGCTTTAGGAGTTCACATCTGGGCTTTGGCGAGTTTGACATTTTGTGGAAAAAGCTTTCCTCTGACAGAAATTGTTTCAAATGATACAAATGCAAAAAATAACGTAGTTCGACAACCACCATTGCAACGTGACATTTATGCTGTCTTGGTATGCTGAATGGGATAAAATTACTATTAAGAAGAGTGAAGTAAATGCTTATTTCCCAGTTCAGCAATGAAAAAATTACTAGCGTTAAATAAGCATTCTGTGTAATATATTAAATTAGTTTATTGTGCTTGATCTAATTTCTGGTAGTATCCATTTTACTGTGAAAATGATATTGGTCTTAAAATGTAAACAAAGAAGCCAAAGACTGAACGAGCCTAAAATTTTAACAAGCCTGAAGCCAAACTGCTCTCTCCAGTATCAGTTTGTTTTCAAAACATTTTTGCAAGCTTGCGTTGCTCGTAATTATGCATTGTTATTTCCAAGGTCATTAATGTGTGCTCAAAAATATGTTTAAAGGAGGGAAAAAAATCTAGTTTTCCTTTTTTATATTCTTAATTATTTTCCATTTTAATATTAATTTTGCCACAGCAGAAAATAAACAACAGCTGACAACTGGAGGAAGACCACGAAGGTAAGAGAAATGCGTGGGGTTTTTTCGGGGTAGAAAATTTTCCTATGAAAGCAATATACAGCGTGGTTAAAATAATATTGTGATACCATAGGAGAACTAACGGCTAGAGTTACGCTGCTGGCTGTGTGGTGCATTTTTCTGTATCTTTTAGAGGAAAATAGAGACTTATTTCCCAAATGGAGATGCGGACAATTTACTAAGTTTCTAGTGTGGATAAGGTAGGGTGGTGTGTTTGAAAGCAGTAAGCATTGAATTTTTGCTTAAATTCAGTAGAAGTTAAGTTAGCCCAAAACGGCTTTATTTAAAAACTCTGCCTTTTAATCTTTTAGTATTTTGAAATTAAAAAAAAGAAGTTGTGAAAGCCTTTCAAGATCTTACTTTTTTAATTCTAGGGCAGCAAGCTCTTCTCAGAATCTCCCAAGGCTCAAACAACGACCACTGTCAAAAACTTCACCTGGGAGCACCACAGAATTTAAATCATCCACTGCCGAGAGCCCCAAACAGGTTTAAACATGTTTTATCTTGGCAGTGTTACAGTTGAAATTAAGGTGATTTTATTTTGAGAGGCTATAGGCAGCAAGAGGATGTAAGTTACACAATTAATAATTGTGTAACTAATGGGGTTTACTAATTATGTAATTTAAGGATTATAGATGCAAGACTTCAGGAGAATATGCTTTCTGACTGTGAGTTGGGAAGCAAGTCACAGGCAAAAATTAGAGGACAAGGAGTCATATAATCCAACCTATACTGAAAGCAACCAGAGTTTTCCCATTAACAGCAGTAGATTCACCCTTTAGTGCCAGAAAGCCAGACAAACAAACCACGTAGAAAGCCTGGTGTCAGTCATAAGCATCTTTACAGTGCATAAGGTATTTGAGATTGGGGGAGTAATTTGGCTCTGTTAATTTTCAGTTTTGCCAGTCTCATTTTGGTAAGATTGCTGTGAACACTATTTCATTACCATCCCTTACAGAGGAGGGAGCAGGAACAGCAGGCTGGTGGGCAAGCACCGCGTCTGTTATAACTTTTGAATAACTGGGTGAAGGAGAACCTCTTTTTTTTTTTTTTTTTTTTTTTTTTTTTAAAGTCCTTGTCTATATTCCTGCATAGGGAGGAGCTCATCTCTGACCAGTTCTCACCCTTTAATAAAAAACATTAGCTTTTGGATTTTACAGTAATAATTGCTGTGAAGCGAATGTCAAAGTAACTTAAAATCTTAGAATGGCTCCTCATTTCTGAGTCAACATGCTGTGCCTTATACTTGCCTGTTCGTAAGCGTTTCTTCTCATAGCTATGTAAAATGCAGATTTCTGCAATTTAAAATGGAAGCTCTGTGCATGAAATGACTTGAATGCTGAGTTCTAGAGCCATGGCTTCCACCACTGCTGTCACCAGATGAAGTCTAAATGCACAGTGGTGTTTTTCTGACAAATACAGGATTACTGTTGCAACTTCCATGTAATGATGCAGCTCATCTGGGCATGTATGAAGAGGTGGGATGATACCTATGATGGAGTGATATCTGCAACTCATATGCCTGGCAACACATCTGTTTTAAAATTGTTTTTTCTTTAGAATAATGACAGTGCAGTTACTCTGGAGCAATCTGACTTTGGCTTAAACATCTCAGCAATCAACAAAAGTGGAGGAGACAGCACTCAACCAAGAAAGGTTGGTGGAAACCTAGTATGTGATTTTTGGTAGAAATATGTAAGTAGAAAAAACATATGAAAGTTTTCCACAAATATCAAATACGAGATTTTTTGTGTCTATTTTTATATAAAATGTACCTGTATAATTAGCTGAAGGGTCATTTTTTATGATTTGGGCGGTAATTCTTTGCAGAGGAGGCTCAGCTTGCATTAAATGGTGTTTCAAACATTGTCAAGAAGGAAAAATATTTCTGTTTTTAAAACCCAGTGCTAATAGCTAAAATTGAAGATAAATTTCAAATTCCTGAATAAGATGATAAGAGACTCTGCAGTTAAATTGTTGCACTGATTGAGGAGATGTGCATTCTTTTCCCGTTGCTACCACAAATTCTGTGGTCAGTTTTTGCCATATTTAGGACTGTGCAGGCAGTAAGGAAGCTCATCGCTGTAAAGACAAATAAAATTTGGCCCAATGCAGTCTTAACAGTAAAGCTACCATCATGGTAAAGCCCATCACAACATTATTTTCTCCTTTAGGGCCAAGTAATTGACTTCCATGGGACAATTCAGGATGCTGTCAAAGTGTCATCAAATGGAATAGCCTGGAACAGCCTTAACTGCGATCCAGATCCATCAGTAAGTGTTTCTGTTCATATTTCCATCCAATGAATATGAATATCGGTTTTACATAACCAGGAACAAAATAAAATACTGCAACGATGTGGTCTTTGCTCCTAAATGATAAAAAAGGGCTTAGATTTCTGAGTGGTGTATTTCCTTCTTGAATGGACAGTCATACTTGATACGGGTCTAATTTGTTGGCAGTAGTTTACTCTTTGAACATGAAAGTAGGCAGCAAATACAAATGATACCTTATGATTCACAATAAAAAAAGTATTACAGAAACCCACAGAGCTTCTGAGGATGAAATTCTGGTTTCTTTTAATTCAGTATGTTATTTAGCGTTCACCTCATCTGAGACAAGAACAGAGTTTAGGTGGTTGAGATAGAAAATTTTCAGTAATCACTCTTTGACACAAGCTTCTAGGATAGCTCATCCAACTTACTCAGTGCCACTCCATCTGGCAACTGCTACACTTGGAGAGACTTTCAAAACAGAGCATGTGGCAATGTGATGAACCGTGTTTACATTTTTCACTCTTAATCTGTGTAGGGCATGTTTAGGATTATGTGTTCAATAAGAGACCTGCTCATTTTAATGTTAATTCAGGATTAGATTCTGTCAGATGAAAAGATGAGTTACTGCAAATATGACTTACTTCAAAAATTTATTATTATCCACATTTTCACAGCTTTAAAAGTTGATATTATTATGATCTATCAGCTTTTTTCAAACTATTTCATAGTTTGTCTGTTTAAAAATAATTCAAGTCTGACAAGAACATATGTTTGTCTTTTTTTAGGAACGATTATTGAAACCCCTTAGTGCTTTTATTGGCATGACTGGTGAGCTGAGAGAACTTGCAGCCGTTGTGAGCAAAGTAAGATGGGGTCTCCATTTCAGTTGTACAGAGATCTTGGTTACCTTTGTCATCTGCGAATGCCATTTGTTTCTTTTTACTGTCACTGATGGTGCTTATTCTTGAACGTGCAAGCTGTTTTTCTTATGTGACTCCCAACAAGTCATTTCTTTATATATAACAGTGTTTCTTTCTGATATAAAATGGGAGGAAGTAATAAGACCATTCCTTTCTAAAGGAATCTAATCATGCTGTACCCATGAGACTGTCGTAGATTTTCCCTTTGTTCTTATTGCTACAGAAAATCCACAATACTTCACTGAAAAGAGAGATTTAAATATATTAGCTAACAGCAACTATTACCTAATGTGTTCTCTAACTGTGATCAAGTGGTGGGAAAGACCTCGACAGGCACTGATAATCCCACGTGCTTTTTCATACGAGTCCTGTGCCTTGCTTCGCACTGCCTGAGTGAGCTGGACTTGTTGACTTTTCTCACTCGGCGTGGCTGAGAGATGCTGTTACTGTAGGCTCTGCAAGCAGTGCTCTTCCCTCATCCCAGCGCAGGCAGCATCAGCAATGCACCGTATCCCAAGGCAGACCAGGGATTCTTCCAGGATGGGCAGTTTGGCACCTGGAAGGAATCCCAACATCGTCAGCACCATTTCATTTCACTTGTGAGTCCAGGTGCAGTCTAGCAAATGGGACCTGGGCTACTGGGGATCAGTGGCTATGAAGCAGATAAATGCTTTGCATGCATCACCTCCCAAACCCCACTAGGCACTTGTCCAAAAGGCTTCATAGTATCAGAATATTTGATAGTGTTGTGACTCTTTCTGGATATAACTATCAGAAATGCTATCAGCTGTTGCTCCCACATACTTAAAATCAGCTGTTTAAAAAACCTGGAAGACTTTTGCTGACTAACTTGTATAGCTTTGTATGGCCCAAATTCTTGGGCTGCAAGTTTTGCATTTGCAATTTAGTAGAACTGAAGCCTAAGAAATTTCCAACCTTAAAATAAGAACATTCCCATTCATTTAAATTCCTGCCTGTTTTTTAAGCTATGGTGGTAAACTTTAAAATAGTGTTATTCTTGCTGATACTTTAGCAAAAAGCAATAGGGTTGCTTTAGCCTTCGTTATGGTATGGTTTTTAAATTGTGCTGGTATGTTCTTAGTTGCTATGGTAATCAACACTGTGTAAATCAATAAAAATAAATAGCATGTGGTATCTATTTCACAACACAGCCTAATTTAATTTGGAAACAGTTATAGAAGTCTCTACTTAGTATCATAAATCTGATTCATCTTAATTTGCTGTTAATAGAAAGGAAAAGTGTCATCTACTCTATATAAATAATTTTTCTAATTGTATTAAATCCAATTTCCCCCATGGATAAAAGCACATAATTTTTCTTCAGTCTCTGGGGACTGCCTGGTTTTATTGGAGAGCAGAATTTATCCTAAGTCTTTGTATTGAGGATATGATATTTTCTGCAGAACAATTAGTGTCTGGAACGCAAAGCCACAAAATATTACTAAGGCAAATGGAGAGATTCATAGAAAATTTGGAAAGTTTGATGAATTAAATAAAATTAATTTAGTGAGCGCTTCAGGGCATAGACTAATTACCGACTATCTTTTGATAGATGCTTAAGGGAAAATTTTCCTCCTGTTACAGAGCTTCTCGCAGCATATAAAGTCTTGCATAGTGGGGAGTAAATAGTAATTTTTCACTGTTACTTATAAAATAAGTAATAACGTAAGTAATGGGTGCAGCCATAAAGTTACTGAGCATCCAGTTTAAAACAAACAAAAGTATTTTCACATTGTGCGTGATTAACCTCGCCTGGAGACCTCACCTGGAGCCCTGCGTCCAGCTCTGGAGCCCTCAGCACAAGAATCATAGAATCATAGAATGTTTTGGGTTGGAAGGGACCCCTAGAGGTCATCTAGTCCAACCCCCCTGCAGGAGCAGGGACACCGCTAACCAGATCAGGTTGCTGAGAGCCCTGTCCAAGGACATGGACCTGTTGGAGCGGGGCCAGAGGAGGGCTACTAAAATGCTGCGAGGGCTGGAGCCCCTCTGCTCTGAGGCCAGGCTGGGAGAGTTGGGGGGGTTCAGCCTGGGGAAGAGAAGGCTGCGGGCAGAGCTGAGTGCGGCCGGTCAGGGCTTAAAAGGGGCCCAGAGGGAAGGGGGGGACAAGCGTTTTAGTAGGGCCAGCTGTGACAGGACAAAGGGTGATGGTTTTAAACTGAAGCAGGGTAGGTTTAGACTGGATCGAAGGAAGAAATTCTTTACCATGAGGGCAGTGAAACCCTGGCAGGGGTTGCCCGGAGAGGGGGTGGAGGCCCCATCCCTGGGAACATTCCAGGCCAGGTTGGACGAGGCTGTGAGCAACCTGATGTGGTTCAAGGTGTCCCTGCTCCCTGCAGGGGGGTTGGGCTGGGTGACCTCTGGGGGTCCCTTCCCACCCAAAACGTTCTATGATTAAACTGTGGAGCTCATTAGCACAGAAGAAGCATGTTCAAAAAAGAGTTAAAGAGAAATTCACTGAAGAATGAATGTGAAAGGGTGTTTGAACTCAGAAGACTAAGATGTGATTTAAAGTATCAAAGTCTTTTCTTTGCACATTTTGGTGGATGTAAATATGAACCAACATGTCACTCCTGTTGCTTATGCTTTTTTTAAACATCCGATGCTTGCCAGCAAAGTATTAGACTTGGTGAACCTTCGTATCGTGATAGTTCTTTGTATGTTAGCTGGTTACTAAAACCAACTAAGAGAAAACAGATCTGAGAAACAGATCTGCTCAGCGTATACATTTGGCAGTGTATATGCTCTTAGGGAAACTAGGGGCTTGAGGGAAAGCAAGGCACAATGTAGCAGTTCTGTAGAAACGATTGCTGTGTAAGCTTTCCTCTTGGGAGGTCCCTACGACGTAGGGTTAAATTATACGGTTTCTATCACTTAACAGCACTCTTACTTTATAACCGAGTCGACTCTTTTACTTTGCCAGAGTTCCTTATCCTAGTGCAGAAGTTTTACTAACAGGATGCGATGTATGTTGCAGGATATTTATCTCCATAATCCAAACGTGAAGTGGGACGATATTATTGGACTGGATGCAGCTAAAAGACTAGTCAAGGAAGCAGTTGTTTATCCCATACGGGTAAGGCGATAAATCGTTTTGAGAAAGCCAGTGTTGGGCTCGTTAGCATTTTCCTTGTCATTACAGTGGTGTTTTAGAGTTCTCACTATAGCTGTGCTTTCACAGGCAGTTCATGTTAGAACTATTCCTGTTCCTGTTTCATCTGATAATTGCATACACATTCTCCTGTAGGAAAACGGCCTTTCAGTATTAAAATTATAAGTGTTGGGTCCTATTCTTTGGCAATGTAAGAGTTACTGGATTTGTCCTGTATTAATTAAATGGAAAACAACTTATAGAAGATAATATCAAACCAACTGCATTTAAGGAATTCACTTAAAACAAATTTCAAGTGATAAGTACAGTATTTTTCTCAGTACTCAGATCATAGATTGTTTTGGAGGGGTTTTATCCCCCTCTCTTAAAATTTCTTAAGGTTTCCTCAATGTATTAGGAGCAGTGGGGGTAGGGGTTAGAATCCCTTGCATTTTGTTACAGACGATACATTTTTAATCCCTGAATTACTTTTCGGTTTCCGCAGTACCCCCAGCTGTTTACAGGCATTCTGTCTCCTTGGAAAGGATTATTGCTCTATGGGCCACCAGGTATGTAGAGCTGTATGCCATATTCGTTTGTTTATCACAACTTCTGGTTTTGTCCCGTGGGTAAATGATGGATGCTCTGTGTTAATAAAGAACATGTTAGAATCATAGAATCATAGAATGTTTAGGGTTGGAAGGGACCACTAGTGGTCATCTAGTCCAACCCCCCTGCAGTGAGCAGGGACACCGCTAACTAGATCAGGTTGCTCAGAGCCCCATCCAACCTGGCCTTGAATGTTCCCAGGGATGGGGCCTCCACTACCTCTCTGGGCAACCTGTTCCAGTGTTTCACCACCCTCATTGTAAAAAATTTCTTCCTTACCTCTAGCCTGAACCTACCCTGTTCTAGTTTAAAACCATTTCCCCTTGTCCTAACACAGCTGGCCCTACTAAAAAGACGTTCCCCATCTTTCCTATAGGCTCCCTTTAGGTACTGGAAGGCCGCAATCAGGTCTCCCCGTAGCCTCCTTTTCTCCAGACTGAACAAGCCCAACTCTCTCAGCCTGTCCTCATAGGAGAGATGCTCCAGCCCTCGGATCATTTTTGTAGCCCTCCTCTGGACCCGTTCCAACAGTTCCATGTCCTTCTTGTGCTGAGGGCTCCAGAGCTGTAATGTGCAATAAAAGGAGACAATGGTGGATGATTACATCTGTCTCTCACACTCAAACCTGTTCATTTGCCTTTCTCAAAACCCTTGACTATTTCTACACCTGAATCTTCCAAAGACCAGGACTTATACTAACCATTCAGCGGAGTAAGAACTCATATTTCTGGTTTTGCTCAGCTTGGGCCATATAAATCAATTTTGGCTTGACCTGATCTTGCAAAATGTGAATAAATCTGGCATGGACTCACCTTCTTAAGGAAAATGTCCTTCCTTTCTTCTGCATTTGGGGCTTGTTTTGGAAATGGGGTGGAAGCTTTGCCCTCTGCTATGCTAGCTGGGTGTTTTCCATGTCTGCACAGCTTCACTGCTCCCTCTGCTCCACCTTGACATAAGCAGGACTGCCGTGAGTGTGGCTGGGAGGGGACAGAGGGCACAAGTGCCACCTGAGTCAGGTTGCAAAGGCTGTCGCTGCAGTAAACTCCATTTGTTCCTGTGAATGTTTAGATGTACTTGCCACAGAAGGCATCTTGACCTGTAGTCACCTGTAGCATGTAGCGCTTCAGAATTTGGGGAACGCATCTGCAGTGCTGTATTAACTGAGTTTCTCCTGACAGTCCTGGAAGGGCTACAAAAATGATCCAAGGGCTGGAATACCTCTCTGAGGAGAACAGGCTGAGAGAGTTGGGGTTGCTCAGCCTGAATAAGAGAAGGATCCGGGCAGACCTGACTGCAGCCTTTTTGTACCTAAAGGGGGCTTAGAAGAAAGATGGGGACAGACTTTCTAGTACAGCCTGTAGGAATAGGACAAGGGGTGATGGTTTTAAACTAAAAGAGGGGAGATTCAGACTGGATAGAAGGAAGAAATTGTTTACAGTGAGGGTGGTGGGACACTGGGACAGGTTGCCCAGAGAGGTGGTGGATGCCCCATCCCTGGGAACATTCCAGGTCAGGTTGGATGGGGCTCTGAGCAACCTGATGGGGTTGAAGATGTCCCTGCTCATTGCAGGGGGGTTGGCCTAGATGGCCTTCAAAGATCCCTTCCCACCCAAACCATTCTGTGATTCTATGACTTTTTCTATTTTTAGTGTTTTTATCTGAGTGATAGTGGGATGAGGGGAATTATTCAAGCATTTGCACTGTATTTCTTTGGAGAGTGCATTTCTTCAGCACTGTTGTTTGTAGGTACTGGAAAAACTTTGCTTGCCAAGGCTGTTGCCACAGAATGCAATACAACCTTTTTCAACATATCAGCATCCACCATTGTCAGCAAATGGAGGGGTGATTCAGAAAAACTTGTCCGGGTAAGAATTATCACCTTGTTCGTTATACTTTAACAAACATCAGGTTCCCACTTAAAGAACTGGAATTTAACACAGAACTGGAAAGTGAGGATTCATCTGATACTCATAATCTTTCCTGTCTTGGACAAACCATGTGACACTGTTCATACCTAGTTCTTAAAATGGGAATAACGTCACTTCTGTAGAAGCTGCATAATGGATTCTTGCTGTGGAATTTTAGTTCTGTAATGTAAGATGAAGCAGATGTCCTGAAGGCAGCAAAGATTTTTGGCTCACTGAATAAGAGACAGACAAGCAGAGATTCTAACTATAATACTGTTTGCTTAGTGACCCCTTCAAAGCACTTCACATCCTTTCCTGCACGGCTGGGCTCCTAGGCTCCCTACAAAATGTTATTTAGATTCCCAAGTTCCTTACTATTCTTAGTCTTCAGGGCACGAGAATTGGCAAAGAATTCCCTGGTCACAAAGATCTTACAGTCAGACACAGAGGTAATGCTTTAAGGAAGGTAGTTTGATGGTAAATGGGTAAATGTATTTTTGCATATAGACTAGGAAGTAGGATACATGGCTCAACTGTGGTACAAAAAAAATTCAGGGATTCAGGTGTGTAACACTCTTGCCATAAGATGCCTATCCTAATCCCTCTGTAATCTCCACCATTTCAGTGTAAGAAATCCACAAGCTCTTAGCCTTCCTTTACATTCATCTCTTAGGCTAAGATACAGAGCTCTTGAAAATGAGTAATTGTGACAGACTGTGCTCAGCAAATGGCATTACGAGCACTGTTAATCTTTCTTGAAATGTAGGCAATATCTGCAACATAATTATTCTTCATGTCTCCTTTGTCCTTTAAAATGGCACAGTTTTCTTCTGACATTCACCTCCTGTGTTATTGATCCTCTTGACATCTGTCTCAGCAGCTTCCCAGTTTTTCCCTTCTGGCAAGAGTAGGAATGGGACAGCCTGGGTTCTGACACCAATATCCAGAAGGGTTTTTGTGAACATGCTGCAGCATTTGCAATGATATTGAATTGGTGGCATTTCACCCTTAGTTGAGTTTTTGGCAGAATCCAGAAATGCAATAAGATTGCAGATTGGGACAGCTCTAAGAAAAGTATCGTGTGAATTTATATCCTCAAATCACATGAGGCTGGTGTAGGAGTTTTCTGAAGTTTTGTGAAGTGTATGTGGGGTTTGTGCTCATTTGGAGGAATGTCCGCTCATCCACTTCTCAGCTGTGTTGGTGTGATTTTATATTTTAGATTTGTAGTAAAATTGTAGACTGCAAACTGTCAGCACCTTTTGCACGAGAGCGGTGATAGTGGATGTATAAGCAGAACCGATATAGCATCCAGTTTTTGTTTCAACCATCTTGGAAAAGCCACTTATATGGCAAGAGTATAATCCAATATTCTACTTAATTGCAAACTTTTGTCTCCTTACACAGCACTAATTACAATGTTGGTCATGGACTACCTGTGACTCTGGGCAAGTAGTTTAATCCCTGTGCTTCAGATCCGAAGAAAATAATACATATTTTAAAAATTTGGGGGGTTTAAATGTTCAGATTACAAAGTGCTGGATTAATACATATTGTCAGTGATATTTATTTAAAAACTCAAAGAACACTTGACTGAAGAAGAACTGGCAATATGTTTTTACTGCTAATATAAGCCTCTCCATGTTTACAGGAAAACATGTGAAACTTCTTTCTCAAAAGGGAAGATCCAGATTTTGTGTGTCAGCTTAATATTCCATTTTTTAATCTTGATTGTTCAAGCAGTTTATGTTTGTTTTCACCAGGAAAAACAAAAGAACTGCTTGTTTCTTATCACGAGAATCAGTCCATTTTCTTTCATTATGGTTCAGCTGATTTTTAATTTTTTTTTTCTCAAACCCTTATTTAAAAAACTACAAATGGAGCCAACAATGAAAGATGGATGTTTAATCTCTGATAACAATTTAGGAGTTCCCAGAATCCTTTGATGGATCATTTTCTTCTATCCCATTATTCTCGGGGTACTCTGATAGGATTTAGCCAGAAAGATTTACATATAAAGACAGGATTACAAGCCTGTGTTCTTTCTATCTCCTTTACAAACCTTTCAGAATTTGAGAGGATTCAGGGACTTTCAGCCCACCCAGAGCTTTTTCCCAGCAGATAGCCCTTTTTGTCCTAGAAGTTTGGCATGTGGCTACTGTGACTTGTCTTCTGTGTCAGTGACCCTTAATGCCTTTTTGTGTTAGTTTACCTTTTCTTTCACATTTACTCTTCTCTCTAAACAGGTGTTATTTGAGCTTGCCCGGTACCATGCTCCTTCCACAATTTTCTTGGATGAGCTGGAGTCAGTTATGAGTCAAAGAGGCACTGCTTCTGGGTAACCGATGAGAGCACTTCCTATGGCTTTGTCCCCCTTTTACTGCATCTTTTCAATAACGTGTGTGTGTTCAGGGGCTGACCAATGCTTCATCATAGAGTGTACCTGCTAGAACCAAGCCTTAGCTAAACTAAAGCCTGAGGCTACTCTATAAAATTCATCAAGAGCATGATTGGGCCCCTGAAAGACTTGTCTTTTAGCAGGTTTAGGTTGGACATTAGAAAAAATTTCTTTCCCAAAGGGCTGTCAGGCTCTGGAAGGGGCTGCCCAGGGAAGGGGGCAAGTCCCCACCCCCGGGGGGATTTAAAAGAAGGATAGATGAGGTGCTGAGGGCCAGGGTTTGGGGGTGGGATGGCAGGGTTAGGTTAAAGGTTGGACTCGATGATCTTAAAGGTCTTTTCCAACCTAGACGATTCTGTGATTCTGTGATTTTGTTGATATTATAATTACTTCGAGTGATAATGGTCATGTTCTTGACTTTTTAATAAGCACTTTTTCTTTTGTTCTGTTGGCAACTTTAGGAGCCCCGCAGTGTGTTCTTGTCAGAATGCCTACCAGCTCCAAAAAGTATTGCTCCATGGAAGCATTGCATACGCTGTGGGGATTTAAAGAGCGAGGTGTAGTGGTTGTTTCATTCACGGTAGATGAGATCAGTAGAGAAGGGAGTTGTGAGACTGTGTAACTAGGGGTGCTGTACTTCAAAATAAGGGATTTGAAGTGGAAATGAAGATGGGGGTGGGGAGGAGCAACAGATTACTTGTAAAAGGTGAGTAAGAACCAGCTGGTTTTGTGACAGTTTGGACAGGCTTAGGCATAACAGGGTAAGATAGAGCGTGCATGTGGAATGGCATTTTTGTTAATGGGACAAATTTTGGTGGCATTGTCAGGACTTCCAGATGCAGGAATGGGAGGATGTTATTATTGTCATCCATGGTGCAGACAGTTTATAGTTAAAAACAGATTGAAAAAGTTAGGGATGGGGAAGAAGTAGGAGAAATATAAAAATATTGTTATAACCATTAGGAGCCCATTACAGTGGATTTTATGTACTGTAAATTGTATGCTCACAAAGATTTATAAATAGAATATGCTATATTGTAAAGATATAACCTGTAATAATTTTCAGTTAGTAGCTCTACATTATGGGCCAAATTTTGCTTTCTTATATACTTCTAGAAACCCTCATTAACATCACTGGATTATATATTTGAATAAGGATTTTTATCTAAGATTATGTAGTTATTTTTACATATCCTTATTAAATACTGACTTGGCAGCGATGTGTGGATGCCTCTGCAGAAATAAGCCATTAAACCTGAATTGTAACTTTTACCATCTAAGGCCCTGATGTTTTCTCTGGGTTTGATCCAGTTTCCAAGAACTCCACATCTGGGACCAAGAGTTCAGATCGGTTTCCTGCAAAATTGGTTACCTGGGTCAGGGCCAGAATTCTTAGCACTTTGCTTAAGTTCCCCTTCTCTTTTTGAGGAAGGATCCTTTCTGTGTGGTCTCTGCCCCATTTTGAAATTCATTTCAATACGGCATATTTTTCTGCTTGCTTTTGATGGAACATTTTGCAAACTACTGGGTTCGGTAGTAGGTGTATCTTCAAGTCGCCACTTAACATTCACTCACAGAAAAATGCCAGTAGTTGCCCTGAATAGGTAGGTGCGTTAGTTATTTAATGGCAATTGCCATATTATAAAAATTCTCTTGTATAGATCAATCAATCAAAGCTGTAGCTGTTTTCCAGTAAACATCAATGTTGCGTGGAGATTAATTTGAAAAAAAAAAAAAAAAATATTTTCTTTGGATTCAGTAATAGTGAATTCTCCTCACTTTAATGCACTGAAAAGAGTCCATTTAAGTAATCATTAGAAAGCTTGATTTTAATGCTTAGATGTTAGCTAATGGAGCTTAATCATGCTTTGAACTGGGGCAAAACTGTGACAAGGGCTCAGTTGCTGTGAATGACACTGTATAAATAAAGATGATTACTTTAATGCACTGAGCAAATAATGTTTCTCTGAATCTTGGTAGTGGTGAACATGAAGGAAGTCGGCGGATGAAAACAGAATTACTGGTGCAGATGGATGGCTTGGCCCGATCTGATGATCTTGTATTTGTTTTAGCAGCTTCCAATCTGCCATGGTAAGAGATCCAGAGAGTACATTTTGAATACATTTGCATGAGCTTCTAAGCACAGATAAAGATTTTATTTAGACTTTTGCAGAAAAAAGCCTTGATATTTGGTTAAAGCATTTAAAGATTAATTTGGAGCTTTTACTTTTAAACTCTACAATTCTTGCTATTTGTGCCACATGAGAATAATCCATAATAAAGTCAACATATGCTGGTGCTACCAGCTGCTAATATTTAAAATGGAGTATTTGACTTTATAGGAAAGTTATTTACTATCTTTAAGCTAGGAAGGGTTTCAGCCTGGAACTGTAAGGTGCTTAAAACATCTAGTGCTTAGAAGGATACTCCATAAATAGCAATGTTGGATTTTACTGGTATCAAATGTGACTTTTAAAAGTTGAGGGACAAAATTCTTCAGTTTCTTTAAATAACTTAGAATAGAAAAATAAACTGTTTAAGATTGGAACTAGGGCACTTTATCATGCTGGTTCTCAAAATGGGCAGGACATATATTGAGGACACGACGGAGAGGAGCGGATGAGGTAGGGGGGGGTAACGTTTGCAGTGTAACAGCTGTGGATGCTCCGGGCAGTCCAACAGAGAGCAGAAAATGGCCAGCTCTTGTGCTCGCCTTGAACAGCATCTCCCACGGCCCCTGTCAGAGCCAGCGTATTGATATGGCTTGATCATTCATCTGAACTAGTGTAGTGTATCTTTTCCTTTCACACAAAACATTATCAAATGGTTGCAAATGGTGCGTGGGGAAAACAACGGCTGTTGGTTAAGCACAGCTATTTTTAACAGTCTGTTTCATAGTTCACTAACCATTTCCCAGAGTAGGAGCCAACACCTCTACGGGGAATTGGAGCACATGGATGATGGGCTTGTTTTTGAAGTTACTTTTCATCGGTCTGGAACTAGTCTTTGGATTTCTGCCTGCCCCGAGACTCCCCCTGTCCCTGTGCTACCAATCCATGAGATCTTCAGTGGAAGAACATCTTTTCCCAACAGAGAAACCTGGGCATTGGAAGCAGCAAGGGGAACCTCAGCAAAGTAAACTGTGGAAACTGTTTGGTGAGGGACAGTCTTGGAGGCAGATGTCTGCCAAAATGATGAGTTAGGCATAAGAAGCGTTTTTTTTTCCATGCTTCCTCTTCTCCCTGAAGCGGACATGAAGCAGAGAAATACAAGGTGTCTGCCTGGGGCAGACAGAATGGCTAACGTTTTGCAGTTTGCTGATCATCAGAGCACTGAGGTCTTTCTTAATATCTGTGTCCCTAAAGGTGTGCAGGCCTAAGTGGGCCTATTCACCTCTCACATGTAGATGTGGTCAAGCTAGGACTCTGAAAAGGAGAAGACAGTAGTCTGGTTTCCAGGGAACTTCAAACCACAGTCTGGGAAACGTTTGGTGGAGCCCAATGGCAGGTGTTCCCAGGAACGACCTTGTGTGAGCAGCGCCTCAGCAGCATTTCGAGGAGCAATACTGGAAATTTGACTGGAAGGCACACTGTTCATTGATGTGATGGTCACCCAGGAGGACCCAGTGGGAGTAAGTGAGAGCTCTGCACCCACAAAACCACAGGCTTCATTCCTGTGTTGTTTTTCGTGATTAGTGACTTTTTGGCTGATTCTCGTGAGGTTGCCATAGGGAGACCTGTTGGAAAAGCCTCCCTGTGTGACTGGAGGGCTCTGGGCAGTGATCAGCAGGCTGTTGCTGACCAACTGTAGGGAATGTCCAAGTCTGAATGTCTGTATACCCACAGCTTTTGAGTAATTATAAAAAAGTATCAACTCCCAGTGTGTATTTTATTTTGCATCACGTATGAAAGTACTTCTCGGTTATGACACACCACCAAACATACACTCACAAAGTTTGTGGTAATGTTTTATTCCTTTCCTCAGCTGACCCCATTTTTGGCAGGCCTGGCTGAAAGGCCAAGAGAACAGGCAAAGAGAGTGAAACAACAGAAGTGATGTTGGTGCCTCAGAACTGAGGCTCAAAGGTCAATATTTTCAAGCAGTCCCATGTGGCCGGTAAGCTTGGAACCAACTAACATGTTGGTGCTGAGGAGCTCAAGTCCTTCAGAGATGCAGAATGATGTGGGTCCCTAAGTCTCCACGGCTCTGCCATACAGAATTTCCTGCGTGATGAACAAAGGGAAGCTTTATCCCAGTCTGTCACCCTTCATGAACCTTGTGGGCAGTGTTCACAGCACATAATTTTGGCACCTAACGTAGAAGGCGAGTTCCCCCTGCTATGAGCCAGTCAACAGCAAACCAACAGATGCAGCAATTCAGAGCACTTGAGAGACCCGCAGGGGTCAGCGCTGTTTAACATCTTCGTCAATGACTTGGACAATGGAACAGAGTGCACCTTCAGCAAGTTTGCAGATGATACGAAACTGGGAGGAGTAGTGGATAGACCAGAGAGTTGTGCTGCCATTCAGAGAGACCTCGACAGGCTGGAGGAATGAGCCCACAGGAATCTTATGAAAGCTCAAGTGCAGGTGATCAAACACTGGCGCAGGTTGCTCATGGAGGTTGCGGAGTCTCCATCCTTGGAGGTGCTCAAAACCTGGTTGAATGCAGCCCTGAGCAACCTGCTCTGGCTGACCCTGATTTGAGCAGGGGATTGAACTAAATGATCTCCAAGAGATGCCTTCCAACCTCAGCCATTCTGTGATGCTGTAAAACAAAGCAGGGTCTTAAGCTAGGTACCGTGAGAGTAATTAAAAGTATTCCTTTCTTCTGAATGTAAGAAAGCCTCAGAGGAGTGGTCACCCAAGTTAGGCGTAGAGGCACAAGTTGCTGCATAAAAACAGGCAGTGTGTTACCCTTCAGTATCCCTCATTAAAATTAGATAAATTAAAATAAATACCTAAGACGGAGTCACTTGAGAATAACTCCATTCTTCTCTAATGTAAAGGCTGGAGTTCCAGTCCACCTCCTTCTACAAGCCTGTCTTTCCCTTTACATTTTCTTTCCTAACGCAAAGCCTTATGTTTCCCATGCACTCGAGGAAGGATGCTTCTGAGAACCACCAGGCAGGCATCTTACCTGCTGAAATTCAAGTGCCAAAGTGGCAACATACTCAGAGGCTTTCATCTGCCTCTCTCCATGACCTGCCCAGGGCTTTCAGGCTCTTTAACCAGGAGAATGGCTGCATGGGCACCTCAAATTAATGTAGAAATTAGATGTACAAATTCAGTACCGCTGGTTCCTACTGTGGCCCAACAGCGTGAGTACAAAGCCATCGCTGGCTTTATAGCCCCACTTGGTTTGGGGGATTTATGCCTCGGACAAACTTACTCTACTGGAATTTAAATCACTACAAAACCCACCCCATTTTGTGTTACAGTATCTACATGAAAGGAACTGAACTGAATTTTATTTAATTACGTTCCAGTTGTGTAAGAAAATGCTGAAAAGTAATAGCTACTCTGTGTATGAATAGTTAAGTTTGGAAGAGAATTAATACATTAATAATCATAGAATCATAGAATCATAGAATGTTTAGGGTTGGAAGGGACCACTAGTGGTCATCTAGCCCAACCCCCCTGTAGTGAGCAGGGACACTGCTACCTAGATCAGGTTGCTCAGAGCCCCATCCAACCTGGCCTTGAATGCTTCCAGGGATGGGGCCTCCACTACCTCTCTGGGCAACCATTTGTCTCTTTATGGTTCGTTAGTAATACACTATAAATGTTTATGTTGTTGTAGCGTTGTTACCCTTTTGGAAAGAGAAACTCTGAGCAGTGCATTGCACTTTTCCATGGTCTCCTAAATTATCCCGTGAGTAGCTGAGCTTCACGTGTAATGCTGCAGCGTGGCAGAATTGAAAGGGATCAGATGTCTTTAGATGATCCAGGTCTTTCTGCTCTTGCACGCTGGTTTGAAAGGAAAAATGGGGTATCTGAAACTCACTGAGGAAGAGTTCAGGGACAGCAGCTGGTCTGAAGGTCACCGTGTGGCTGGTGCTGGATCTAGGGATCTTGGAGATGCATTAATGTAAGTGTGAGGCTGACCTCTCTCTGCTGCTGCAGAAAGAGATGCCTGCATCTGTCTTGTTACCACCGATAAACTCTTTCCAGAAAGTCATGCAAAAATCACAGAATCCAGTTTTGAGTGGTTTACACATTTGGGTTTGGATCATTTTGCCATTCTGAAGTGCTAATTTCTGCAAAATTGCTTCTATGAAACATCAAAAATGACACAGCTTGGTTTTTTAAGGTAGATCCAAAATGACAAGATTTCTATTTTAGGGGAACTGCTCCCACAGAAAGCTGGCAATCTGTGTTGGTACGAGGGTGGCAGCTGAGCCGTTGTGAGAAGCCAGCTCCCACTTTCAAAAGTTTTATACCTGAGAGCTTAAATTTTCCTTTTGGACTTTCTCAACATTGCTCATGGGCAGGTTGGATTTCATCCTCTCTTACATAAATCAAACCTGTGAGCATAATGACTGGGTTGGCTGGCAGAAATGTGCCTACCACAGAGAATAGGCTTTAAGATGTGGCTGAGCATAGGCTTAGAAAGATGGTTTAGGGGGATGGAAGGCTAGTGAAAGCCATGAGCATCTTACATCGCCACTGAGACTCACAGCCCTGAGGAATTTGGGAGTGTCCGCTTCCAAAGAAGTTGGTGGGGTTTGAACCCCCTTTAAGATCTCAACTGCATGTTTACAGATTATTTTTATGTGTATTAGTCAACATTCAGTCCTACTGTAAGACCCCAGACTTCGAGATACCTAGTACTACAGCCCGAGGTTGTGGCTTCACAGCACAGCCCCCTGTTCTTGCAAACATTTGGTATTAAGCTGGATTTCAAGAGATTTGTTTCACTTGGGTATTTATTGATCATGAAAAAAAATAGTACCAAGCTGCTTTTAAATGTATGAAAAGAAGCCTAAACAAAGCTCTTTACACTGTCCTAAGCTGCACTGCAGCTATTGATCTTCCTCTTCAGCCAGTGCTTGCTGCCCAGCCTCGCTTCCTGCTACTCATCAGCAAGGCACTTTCTATTGACAAATTACTTGTTGAAATGGTTCAACATAATTAAATAAAATAAAGGCCTCATTAGTGAAGAAATAAAGTGATCCTTAACCACGTAGTGAATGTTTCCTAATGTATTAGTGCATTTAATTCGACTTTCATTGCAGCGCTGCTTTCTTCTCCCTCCCCACCCTCGGGATGGGTGAATCATAGAAGATTCAGGAGAGTGGAGAGGGATGGTGTGGGGAAGCCCTAAGAGGAGCAGGAGAAAACATGGAGTGAGAACAAGCCCTCAGCTTGTGAGGGCTCTGCCCAGGCCCTCTGCACAGGAGGACGGGAGGTGGGAAGGATGAGCAGCTCGCTCGTTCTTGGTGCCTTTTCCTCCAGAGCACCACAGTGACGATCGTGCTAGGCAGGGATTAATTATGGACCAGTCAGCCCTCATTGCTGTTCCTGGGTTCACCTCTGGAGTTGTTGAGGTCTCCTAGTTTCTGCCTAAAACACATTTGTTACCCTTCTTCCTTCTGGAAAGGAAAATAGGTGTCTTGTTTATCTTCATGAAATTTGGGAGCGATAACGTGGTGTGATGCCTTGGGATGTCAACCTGGAGGAGGTCCGAAAAGTCACCCTCTTTTATAGGTCCTGTACAGCTTTGTGTATCTTCTCATGAGCATTTCTTAATATTTTTATTGGCTATTATTTCAGAGAGTATTTTGGTTGGCTCAGTGCTTACTCTGCTGTTCTGGTTAATGTCACTTAACCTTGCATTTGATCACTGGCAAAACAATTTTGCAAACAACCTAAACACTTTAGATGATAACAAATACATTATGCCTTTCTTTTCCTCTTTAGCCAACAAACCAACTGTAACTTTTCTGGATAAATAGAGCAAGCTCTGTGCATCAGGGGACTTATTTACAGAACACGGCTAGGGAGCTCATGAAACTTGAGGGACACCCCAGGAGTGCTCTGAAGCATGAGGAGTGATGGAAAATGTCATCGTTTAGGGGATTTGTAGGGTATTGGCAGAGACTCTGGCTGTGGTTGTCTTTTGCCTGCAAGGGCAGTTTAGAGCACCTGCATGGGCGCCTCTAAAACCCTAAGAACTTTTGCCCTGGTTTTGCAGAAGATGGAAATATGGGTAAATAACAGCCAAGGGGTTGGTAGTAATTATTAAACAGCAATTATTAAACAGCCAAGCAAAACAATTTTGAGGAGAAGTTGACCTGAAAAATAGAGCGGGGACTCAAATGGTTCTTTGTCTGGTCTGGGTAGGACCCTGTGCGAGAGGCGTTGCACTGAATGTTGGATGGCATCTTAAACAGCCTAAAAATATCAATAATAGTATCAATATACCAACAGCCACCCATTAGCAAACCCTGGTATTTACTTCTGAGGCCTTGATTAGAAGTACTGGGATGGATCCGAGTGAATTGCTGTTGTCCTCTGAGTTCCTGTTGATTTGGTTTTCTAATCTTTGCTTTCATTGCCCTTGGCGCAGTGCATGTGGAATAAGCTCTCCCAAACCAAGAGGTCCTTCCTGGGGAGAGAGGTGCTTCTGTCTGTGGAAAACCTCACCAGGCACCTGTATGGGGATTTGGGAGCCCATTTTTGGTGTTCTTTATCATGTGCTATGCCAGTAAAAGACATTTGCTATTAAAAAATAAGGACAAGTCACCAAAGGTGACCGAAATAAGCTCTCTTGGTGTGCTACAGATCCATCTTGAGCTGGCTTGGAGCTCCCTGTAAATTAAAGAGGAGTTTCGTACAAGAAGCATTGCTTGAACGTTGGCTTTGTTGACAAAAAGATTTCACCCAGGGAATGAGGAAAGGTAGGGGCAGGTTTATTTAAGTGTATCTGTGGTCCCAGATGGCAGGCGCAGTCCTCCAACAGCTGGCTCCTTCCACTCTGCCGACGAGGATGGAACGGCGCTTAGGGCTCCTGTTTTTCTGTCTGCACGAGACACACTGAAGTGAGATTCTCCTTGATGAGAGTTTCCCAGAAGGTATGAGGACTGGATTATATTTTAAACTGAAATAACAAGCCTGTGACTGAATGGGGCTGGTAGAGGAAGACTGGTATAATAGCTCAGAGCAGCTCCTGGAAGGCGCTGGAGACTTAGGAGTAAATATTTTGTAGCAGCCATTTCTTCTTGAAAATTGTATGGATGGCTGGGGTACTTGTAGACCATTCCCATTACACAAGTGACAAGGGATGAACTGGAGCAGGAATTTGTATTCGGTTGTTTGGTTGCGTGACCGTTAGATGCAAACAACTGGAAAGCACTTGGGGAAAAAAAAACCCAAAAAACCTGGATTCAAATGAACTGTTTGGATGCGTGTCTGAGAGGAGCTGGCGTGCTGGGCGTACCAGGACTCCTGGCACTTGACAGAATCAGTGGCACTGGCAAGAAGGACGATTTCTAGATGGTGATGAAACGCGTTGAGAACGGAACAGAAAGAAACATTCACTTTTGTTTCAAGCTTCCCTTGTGCATCACAAACAAGTACAAATGAAGAGTAGTCCTAATCTTTTGTATTGTGCCTTTTTTTTTTAGGCAAAACACCTTTATCAGTGTTGATCTTGACAGCATCATGGGTTTTGGCTCATGGGTGTGTTTATCCAGCCTGTCCATCCTTCACATGATCCTTTTTGTTTGGATTCTTTCCTTTGTGGCTGTTTTATTTATAATTTGTATTGCAGGAGCAGTCTCAGATCGACGTCTCGTTCTGCCATAAACACGGCCCTCGCATCCAAGACCTTCAGTCTGTATTTTATACCTACAAAGCATCCCTTACAAAGTAGCAATTAATTAGTCCTGACAGGGCCCCAGACAGACAATTTGTAGTGTCTCCTTCATAGCCAAGGGAGAAAGGGAGAGGTTATTGCTGACGAGACATGCTGTAGATGAGCATCAGAGCCAGGGAAGATAACTACATCTTCTGATTGTTACTGCTACGCCTCATTGTCACAAGCCAGCGTATCGCTAACATACTGAACAGGAATACCCTGGATAATTAATCTTTTTTTTTTTTTTTTTTTTTTCCTTTTTCCCCCCAAATTAGGTTGGCAGAGTTACAGCTGGGGTTGAAAAATGTCAGTCCCCGCAGCGAGGAGCTTGCCGTCTCTTGCAACAAGACGCACTGAGACGATTCCTCTCCTCCTTTGCTTGCAGGGAGTTGGATTCCGCCATGCTGCGGCGGCTGGAGAAGAGGATTTTGGTTGACCTCCCAAGTAAAGAGGCACGGCGGGTGATGATCCAGCACTGGCTGCCCTCTCTGAGCAACAGCGGAGGAGTGGAGCTGAGAACGGATCTGGACTACAGCTTGCTGGGCCAGGTGAGACAGCACCGCAGCAGGGACGGTGCCCACACCGTGCCTCAGGTCTTTCTGGGTGGGAACCGTACGCAAGAGTATATACATCACATACATATACACATACATCACCCACGGGGGTGGCAGAAGAGGTCTGAAGCAGAGGGTCAGGACAGCACCTCCGTATACAGCGACTGCGACCTACAGAGCGGGGGGAAGGACCTCAGCTCGGTTTGAGGCTCCAGCCAAAGGGAGAGCAGCGAGGCACAGGGCTGAGCATCCCACAGGCACCAACCTGCCCATGGAAATCACTGGTTTCACGCAGCTCTGCTTGCAAAATGCTGTATTCTGATCCTCTCTGTTGAGCCAACTTTACAGCCTTAAATACAGGGAGACTTCCAAC